CCCTTGGTCATATGACCTGATCACCTGACTAGGCTGAGTAAGCAAGATGTTCTAGCAGGTTCCACCACAGAGGTATAAATATAAGGCCTACTCTGCCTGGGGACTGTCTCTTCAGACTTGGTCTCTTAGGATCATCCACAGGTACCTATACTGTAGATAGGTCTTAGTCATCAGGTCTACTCCACTTCCTTGTTGCCTGCTTAGACTCTTGGCACTCTTAGGTGAGCAGACTTAGTCAGCCTGTGTTGCCCTAACAGATGTGCTCCCAGATGTTAATGAAGCAGCTCAAGAGAAAGAAGAAGATAAAGATGGCTTGAAGTCAACTGTGGAAGACACCCTGTGCAGGGCTGGTTTTGATTTGCCCACCCAAAGCCAGCTTATCAGAATGCAAACATATACCAATTCTGCTTGTGGCATATATTATGTCACCAAGCTTCCAGGCACTTTCTCTTTCAGTTACAATCAAGCCATAGACTACAGTAATTTCTTCATGCACACAGACAATGTTCCCATGTCAGTATGGGTGATTGGCCGCATATCTGCACACAAGTTTGTTAATGACAACAGTTCTTGGCCAGATTCTATCTATGTCTGCCTTGAACCATTGGTCGACAAAGACACAAGAGCTGCAACACACATCACAAACTACTACTCACATCCAAGGCAGTGCATGTCCTTTGCATCTTGCAAATTAACTGTGCTAACTGACCCTGCGCAGGGGCTGAGCTTAATCTGTTCAGTAACATCATTGTGAATAAATATCAGAAGATGTATAATTCTGACAAATCGGTATGGATTCCCATGCCCTCCATTCACTTTGTAACTGACTTCCCTTCCAGGCCTGTGAGTTTATGTCCATCTACAATGCCTGTAATGGCATGAAGCTGAGGAAGGACTTGAAGAGATACTTCATGGTTGACCTGTGCAAGGGTGATATAATTCTATGCAAAATGTGCATGAAGAAGAGATTCAACACAAAGGACATGGACCAACCCAAGGAGAAAAGACCTCACACAATATCTTTTGCCTTGCATACCCTGTTCTTCATACACAACACCCTTGAGCCCAGCAAAGAGGATGACAGTGTCTCATATAATTTCTGAATACATACATTGCATCATTGAGGGCTTGCTCTCCAGCCTTCTTGCATATCTTCCAGCCACCTTGGACATATATGACCTGCCATGTGCAAGGCCCTCAGCATACAGACATCTCTCCAACATGCAACCTGCAGGTAATGGGGTCACCTGGTGCCAGAGCTTCTACTAATGTTGTTTCAGTTTCTGCAACCCTTGCTCAAGGACAAGCTATATCTGCAACACTCCATGACCAACTGGAACAACTGAACAAAGCTATTGGCCAGCTCGAATCTGCCATGCACATGGGCTTCGTCTCAAACATGACTGCTCCCAATGTGATGTCTGAGCTAACACACTCACATCAAATATTTCACAATTTGCTCTTTCTCAAGTTGTCCATTGATAGGATTTGTACTTCAGAGGAGGATGATGGGCCCTTGGTGTAAACCAATCATAATCATGTGCTGACGTGCCCTGCGCAGGGGGCTTCATATTCCCATTTGATTCCAATATTGCACTCAGATGCCAAGACATTGGGTTTCCTGCACACATGCACAAGGACCTCCCCCTTGCTCCCCTCCCACTCCCTGCTGTGTGCAAGAAGAACTTACCCTCTGGGAGATGGTTGCCAGCCAGGCAGTCTTGTTGCACAATGCAGAGGCCACAATGCAAGTGCTATCTCACAATTATACTGATGTTATCTTGTGACTGGAAGGCATTCAAAATGAAAGAGATACGAAAGTTTGTAATGCCCAACAACTCGATCATTGCCTCTGGGGCACACACCTGCACACAGATTCAATTCAGGCAGAGCTGATCGATGCCAGGCATGCCATTTCCTGTCAATCTGCAGCCCTCCTCAACCTCACCGAATGCCTGGGTCAACTGCATGATGCAACCTCTTCCCTTGTGCAAGGTCACAATATTATCTGCCGGACACTCTCCACCCAATGTCCTCTTACCTGTAATGGTCCTGCATGGCCAAATTCTGCACACTCCATTCCCTGACAATCCATGTCTCAATTGATTCAGGATCCACACCGTGCTGCTCCACTTTGTCCCATACCACCTACTGATGGCCCCATTCTGGGTCCTTCTACTCAATTTCTGCTTCACCCTGCACAAGCCCCTCATTCTTACATGGGTCATGCCTACACATGCTTCCCTCCCATATGTGTCCATTGGTGTATGATCATTGGTTCGAGACTCCTTCACCATCTGAAGAGTTTGATTCATCTTCAAATCTCACTGATCCTTCTCCACCATCATCCATTTCCCCTGCTGAATAGTTGGAATAGATGCATGAGAGTATGTAGTCCCTGTATAATGCAAATGGAATGAAAACAATCATTACATGCTTGTATGCTTGCCCTGTGCATGGCAAACATTGTACAGTTACAAGTTGCCTTGTTCTTCTGATGGTCCATATAGTCTGCATTTGCTTTGATTGTTATTTTGTACTTCTGTTGTAAGATGGAATCAACAGTGGAATAGTACCACTGCATCGCATTCCACTACATGTACATCAGCTCATCCCTGTGCAAGACATTTGGACTCACATCACCCATCAACAGCATATCATACCACTGATCCATGTCAGTTGTGGCTTCTCCTAACAGCTTTGTAGTCACCATATCAAAAGATGTTATCCAGTACTGGCTGGTATTGTTGACAACCTCCACATGGAACCAATACCTGCTCGCTATCAGCCCTGTGCACAAGAAATGGGAAACACCTCACTTTGCCCTGTGCAAAACATATGTCCTGCAACATGCAGGACAAACATATGTCTGCTCCTCCTTGTCCCAGAAAGACACATCCCACTTCTTATGGCATGCCTCATACAAGCAGCCAGAGTACATGAAGCACACATTGTGCTGGGGGTGCAGCCTACCAATGATAATGAAAGTGATGGGCTGATGTAATCCCATTTTCTTTTGCTTTGCTTTTGCAATAGTTATGTGAAGGCCTGGGATGGCTTGCCCTTTGTCATCCGGTGCCCTGGCTGCAGAGAAACTCCCAGTCATGAATCTCCATTGGTTCCCATGTGCAAGGCCACCCAATGTGGCCCACCTGAACATGATCAGACACCATGTGCTGGGGAAGAAGGAAAATGAATGCACACCACAACTCTAGCCACTGGTGCACATGGTTATGCATACTGACGAACATGCGTGTCTTCTGGGACTGGGTTTTTAAGCAAGGTCTGTCCATCTTGTTGGTGAGCAGTGTTTTGAACATTACTGCTT